CTCCGCGGCCCGGCCCGCGGCGCCCCGGCCCGCGGCGCCGAGCGCGCGGGCGCCTCGCCGCCGCTTCTCGAGCTCCCGCCGCGCCCGCGCTCGTCGGAGCAAACTCGCCAGCAGCGTCGCCGCGGCGACGCGCGCGCGGAGCCGCCGGCGCCGCGCGAGCGCGGTCCGCGCCGCGCCCGTGACGCAGCCGCCGGCGTTTTTCGTGGCCGCGTAGGTCCGCCGCGCGGCCGCGGACCGCCGCGACGCCTGGAGCCGCGTCGCCGCGCCGTCCTTGCGCGCCGCCTCCGCCCGGCGCGCGGCCGCCGCGCGGCGGCCCGCGCGCGTGAGCGTCGCCGCCGCGCGCCGCCGGGCCCGCGCCCGGAGCCGCGCGACGAGGAGCAGCGCGAGCCGCGCCAGCGCGAGCGCCGCGTTGTGCCGCCGCGCCCGCTGGAAGGCCTCGTCGGCGCGCCGCCGCTCGCCCTGGAGGTCGCGGAAGTTGCAGCTCATCCGCCCCGCGGCCTCCTCCCGTTCCCGCCGCCGCCGCCGCAGCAGCTTGACGACGCGGTCCGCGAGGACCTTCGCGCGGAAGACGGCCTGGATCTGCCGCGCGGCGTCGTGCTCGACGCACTTCCGCTGCCGCGCGAGGAGCGCCGCCGACGCCTGGTCCCGGTCCATGGGCTTGGGAACGTCGCGGACGCTGAACGACGGCGCCGCGTCGCGCGGCGACGGCGACAGCGGCTCCGTTGCGATGTACGTGTAGGATGGCATCGGCCGCCGCGGCGACGGGGATTCCATCGCGCGGGCTAGGCGTTGACGAAGAAAGCGCCCATAGCTGCCCAACCGCCTCAACGCGCTAGAATTGTCGAGAAAAAAACACCATGTTGAAGTTCTCTTATTATCCTCGGGCGCACGATGGCGTCTTGCGGATCGACCCTCGGAACGGGCCGAGTGACGCCGCTCGAGCGGGACTATAAACGCGTCTTCAAGGTCTGCTCGGTGTGCGGGTCGACCGGGAAGCGCCTCAGCTGCCCCCCCTGCGGCACGAATTATTGCGGGGTTACATGCCAGCGCGTCGCTTGGAAGCGTGGTCACCGCAAGGAGTGCCGCAAGATCGCCGCCCGGCGTGACTCGGCGGCGCAGCACGACGCGGCGCTGCGCGAGGCGCCGCCCGAGGAGCCGCTCGTCTTCTACGGCCCGGCGCCCCGTTCCCGCGCGGACGAGGCGCGCGCGCGCATCGTCGCAGAACACGAGGCCGCGCGCGCGCTGCGCGAGGCGACGCCGGAGCCGCAGCCCGCGTCGGTGCGGTTCGGATCGCGGTGCCCGATCTGTCTGGAGGCTTGGAACGTCAACATCGGTCATACGGTGTACGTGTGTTGCTGTCAGCAGGTCTGCGCACAGTGCTCGGACGCGCTCGTCCATACGCCCACGTGTCCGCTCTGTCGGTCGCCATTCGAGAAGCAACCACCCTGGAATCTCATGCGTGGCCACGCGGACCGTGGAATCCCAGAAGCCATCAACTTTTTGGCGGACTCGTATAATCACGGAACGAGCGGCCTCCCGAAATCGCGAAAACGGGCTTTTTGTCTCTGGCGACAGGCCGCCGAGCTCGGGAATGTGTCTGCCAGAATTTCGCTTGGCTCAGCGTATCAGTCCGGTCGTGGCGTCAAACGCGACCACGCGATGGCGCGGGAGATCTTTCGCAGCCTCGCTGTACAAGGCCACGCACACCACCTTTTCGCAAAATATCTCTTGACCGAAGGGACAAGCTTGGAGGAACGGATAAAGAATTTCGGAGAAGCAGCAGGTTTATTCTTCAAGGCTGCGAATCAAGGCTACGCGGATGCACTTTTCTACGTTGGTTTTTTGCACGATCCCGATCCATCGACTTATGGTTGGAAAGGGCTCAATGACATGGCCCCCTATATCTTCCTCCAGCCTCCTCTGCCTGACGGGTCACTGCCATCGGGCTGGATAGAAGTGAATCTCGCGGAGGCCCGGAGGGCGTATGAATGCGCGGCCAGCGAAGGCCACGCCCTCGCAAAAAAGGCCCTCGAGAGTAAGAAAAAAGCCTAGCGCGCGCGCTTCTTCGCGGGCCCCTTCTTCGCCGCGCCGCCGCGCTTGCGGTTCGCGGGCTTGGGCGCGCGGGGCTTGGGCTTCTCCGGGGACGCGTCGGAGTCCGCGGCCGCGGCGTCCGCGGCGTCCGCGGCGTCGTCCGCGGCCGCGGGCGCGGGCGCGTCCGCGGGCGGCACGGGCGACGCGCGGCGGCGCGTCGCGCGCGACGCGATGGAGTCCTCGGGCGCGGCGCCGCGGCGCGCGGCGCCGAGCGCGCCCTTGTCCTCGAGCAGCCGCCGCAAATCCGAGCTCGCGGCGATCGCCGCGCTCGCGGCGCGCCGCTTCTCGGTGTAGCCCCCGAAGACCTCGAGCGTCGCCGCGCGCGCCGCCGCGAGCTCCTCGGCGCGCGCCGCGAGGAGGGCCCGGAGCGCCTCGACGCGCTTCCGCTCCGCCGCGAGGCCCTTGGCGACGCCGCGCGGCAGCGCCCCGCGGACCCACTGGCGCCGGTCGTCGGCGCCGGGGGCCGTGTCCTCGGAGCACGACACGACGAGCGCCGGCGCGGGCGGAGCCTGCGTGTCCTCCTCGGGCGACGGGGCCGACGAGGGCGGCGGGGCCTCATCCTCCTCGGCCGGCGGGGCCTTGTCCTCCTCGGCCGGCGGGGCCTTGTCCTCCTCGGCCGGCGGCGCGGCGCTTCCTTCCGCCGGCGGCGCGGCGCTTCCTTCCGCCGGCGGCGCGGCGCTTCCTTCCGCCGGCGGCGCGGCGCTTCCTTCCGCCGGCTCCGCGCGGGGCGATGCGTCGTCGGTCGGCGCGGCCGAGAAGACGTAGGTCTCGAGGACGTCGCCGCCCCGCTCGAGGTAGGCGTTGGCGCCCCGGTTCGGCATGGCCGACGGCCCGGCGAAGTGGGGCCAGCCGCGGGGCAGCAGCGCGGGCCGGTCGTCGTCCGCCGGCGCGCGGCCCGGCGGGTACCGCCGCGCCTCGTCGTCGTCGTCGTCGTCCTCGGGCAGCGTGCCCGGGTAGGCGAGGAGCTCGCGCTTGCAGCGCCGCAGGTCGCATTCGTCGTCGTCGTCGTCGTCGCTCTCCTCGAGGGGCGCGAGCGCGAGCACGCGCGCCAAGTCGGGCTCCTTCCCCGCGAGCGCGGCCCACGCGGCCCAGCGCCCGAGCACGTCGTCCCCCGCCGGCGCCGCGTCCCCGAAGAGGCGCGCCGCGACGCCCCGGAACGACGCCACGAGCGCGTCGTCGTCGTCGTCGTCGGAGCCGCGGTCGCCCTCGCTCGACGCGCCGTCGCTGTCGTCCGAGTCGGCGTCGCCGAGGCGCCGCGCGGCCGCGGCGAGGTCCGGCTTGCGGCCCCGCGTCTCCCGCAGGGCGACGCGCTCGGCGACGGCCGCGGCCTCGACGGCGTAGGCCCGCTGGCGCGCGATCGCGTCGAGCTCGCCGCCGAGGTGCGACCGGTACTGCGAAAACCGGAACTTCGCGGCGGCGAAGGCGTCCTCGGCGGCGAGGAGCCCGAGGCGCAGGGCCTCGTTGGCGTCGCGCCGCGCCTGGAGCTCGCCGGCGATGGCGTCGGGGTCCCGGTCCCACCGCTTCCACCGCTTCCGCTTCGCCGCGAGCGAGAACGCGGCGTTCGGCGGCACGCTCGCAAAGGCCCGCGCGACCGCCGGCGCCGCGGGCGGCGGCTTCAGCGTCACCGCGGCGTCCTGGGCCCGCGCCGCGGCGAGGGCCAGGCGCAGGTCCTTCTTCGCCTCGGCGGGGCGCAACCCGTGGAGCCCCTCGGGCAGAACGCGCATCATGTTGCGCCGGCCGTCGAGGATCGTCGGGGTCGGCGGCTGCGCCATGACTGTTTGTGGTGTTGCGAGGGGCGTGAGTCGCTTCCCGGCCCTCTCTGTGTCGCGAGCGGCCGGCGCGCGACGGGACTATTTGCACGCCACCCAGAGCGGTGAGAGCCGTGACAAGCCGTCTCCTCTGAGCTCGACTTCAATGTTTCCCCCTCGTTGTCGAGCAGCCCTCGTATCCTTTCGCTTTGGAGTGCGAGGCTGGGCTGCCGCCGCGCCGTCGTGAGCGCGCCTCCGGCCCTGTCGGCGCGCGCCGCGATGGCCGAGCCGGCGCTCGCCGTCGAGGAGCGCGGGCTCCTGCTGGGCGACGACGCGCAGACGTCGTCGAGCGCCGCGCCGCGCCGCCGGCGGCGGCATCTCGCGCTCGCCGGCCTCGTCGTCGCGTGCGTCTCCGCCGTCGCCTACATCCGCGTCGCGGGCGCGCGCGCGGAGGGCCCCGCGGCGTCGCTCGGCGCGACGCGCGTCGGCCGCGGGAGCGACACCGACGACGCGTTCTCGTCGGCGCACGAGGCGCCCGCAGCGGGCCGGCGGTCGGGCCCCAAGGGCGCCGCCGACGACGGCGACGACGCGCCGGCCGCGGCCGCCGACGACGGCGACGACGCGCCGTCCATCGACGGCACGACGGGCGGCGACCGCGCGCCGCCGGGCAACGCGAGTTCTAAAACGTCGTCGGCCGGCGACGACGACGCGCGCGCGTCCGCGGAGAGCCGCCACCACAAGGTCAAAGACGACGACGGCTTCTTCGGCCGGAACACCGACGACGGCGACGACGAGGCCGCCGCGACGGCCGACGACAACGGCGACGTCGACGCGACGGCGGACGGCGACGACGACGCGGCGCCGCACTACTGCGACGGCGACGACGACTACCTGATCAACGCGCCCGTCGATTGCATTCCCGCGAAAGACGCTGGGCGCCTGCGAGTGGTGCGCCATCAACTGCGTGGACGACGACGACGAGGACTCGCTGAAGAAGAGCACGTGCAAGTACTGCAAGAAGCACTGCTACACGCCGACGGAGTCGACGTACGGGCCGTCGTCCGTGCCGACCGACGCGGCGACGAATGCGCCGAGCGCCTGGTTCACGCGCACGCCCACGGACACGGCGACGAACGCGCCGTCCATCGACGCGGCGACGAACGCGCCGTCCGTCCACCCGACGCCGTGGTTCACGACGGCGCCGACGGACGAGGCCACGGAGGCGCCGTCCTTCGCGCCGAGGGTGCCGACCTACGGGCCCACGCTGCCGAGGCCCACCTACAAGCCGACGCACCACCAGCCGACGGACTGGCCCACCGTGCCCGCGCCGACGGACGCGCCGTCGACGTCGAAGGCGCCCACGTACGCGCCGACGCCGCTGCCGTCCTACGCGCCGAGCCCGGTCCCCAGCGTGCAGCCCACGGGCTGCCCGACGGCGGTCCCCACGGGCGTGCCCGCGCCGATCCCGACGACCGCGCCGTCGCCCGTCCCGCGGCCGCTGCCGACGCTCGCGCCGCTGCCCGTGCCGTCGGCGACGCCGTCCATGGCGCCCAAGCCCATCCCGACGACGCTCCCGTCGCCCCTGCCGTCGACGCGGCCCAGCGACTACCCCGTGCCCGCGCCGTCGCCCGTGCCGACGTCGATGCCGTCGATCACGTGCGAGGAGGACCAGTACCTCTACCGCATCCAGACCTTCGACGACGGCGGCGACGGCTGGGACCTCTGCGAGTACACGATCAAGACCAAGGCGAACCAGACCATCGTGACGACGGGCACGATGGCCTACGGCAGCTACGACCAGGACTGGGAGTGCGTCGACGACGGCCGCTTCGAGCTCACGGTCAAGTCCTGCGACGCCGAGAGCGAGATCTCCATGAAGATCCTGGACGCCCACGGCGGCTACGCCGTCTGCCTCGACGTGCCCTGCGCCGTGTCCTTCAAGCTGGCCTACGGCCACATCGAGGCCGCGCCGACGGTCGCGCCGACGACGTGGAGCCCGACGACGCACGTGCCCGAGCCGCGGCCGACGCTGACGCCCACGGCGCGGCCCACGGTCTTCCCGACCGTGACGCCCTCGGCCGCGCCGTCGGGCACGCCCACGGAGGCGCCCACGGAGATCCCGACGACGTCGCCGTCGCCCGAGCCGTCCGTGCCGCCGACGCACATCCCGACCTTCTGCCCCACGGTCATCCCCTCGGCCGGGCCCACGGTCATCCCCTCGGCGTCGCCGACGCACATCCCCGAGTCGCGGCCGTCGCCCATGCCGACGTCGCCGCAGCCGTCGTACCACCCGACGTACGCGCCGAGCACGACGCCGCCGTCGCCGAACCCGACGACGCCCCACCCGTCGCCGGCGCCGTCCTACGTGCCCACGGACGGGCCGACGCTCTACCCGACGCTGTCGAAGGCGCCGACGACGTCCGCGCCGTCCGCCGCGCCGTCCGCCGCGCCGAGCACCTACGCGCCGTCGGCGGCGCCCTCCGTGCCGCCGACGCCCGGCCCCTCGGCCGTGCCGACGACGGCGGCGCCGTCCGCCGCGCCGTCGACCTACGCGCCGTCCGGCGCGCCCTCCGAGGCGCCGACGCCGAAGCCGACGCACCGGCCCACGCGCCACTTCGACCCCACGCCGGAGCCGACGCACCGGCCCACGCGGCGGCCGACGGAGAAGCCGACCCACAAGCCCACGCACCGGCCGACGAAGGAGCCCACGCGGCGCCCGACGAAGGTGCCCGTGCCGGACCCGACGTCCGCGCCGACGCTCCGACCGACGCCGAAGCCCACGCGGCACCCGACGCCGGGCCCGACGCCGCGGCCGAGCGACCACCCGACCTTCCACCCGACGCCGCGGCCCTCCTTCTCGCCCAAGCCGACGACGTCGCCGGAGCCGAGCTTCCTGCCGACCTGGCCCGAGACCGACATGCCCAACCCGACCGCGGATCCCACGCTCATGAACACGGACATGCCCAACCCCTCGGCCCTCCCGACGCTCATGAACACGGACATGCCCAACCCGTCGGCCGCGCCGGCCCTGTTCTCCACCGACGACGCGCCGACGCTTATGCCCACGGACTCGTTCCCGACGCTGCCGCCCGTCATGATGGACGACGAGCGCGCGGGCGCGCTCTACGACGACGACGACGACGACGCCATGTCCAAGGCCCGGGGCCACCACGGCCGCTCCTCGGCGGCGGACGACGACGACGACGACGCGGCGAGCAGCCGCCACGGCAAGAGCGCGGCGTCCGACGACGACGACGCGGCGGACGACGCCATGAGCCAGGCGAAGGGGCACCACGGATCTCACGGGAGGACGTCCGCGGACGACGACGACGACGATGTTGCGGTGGCGACCGCGGCGGACGACGACGACGCGATGAGCCAGGCCAAGGGCCACCACGGGTCTCACGGCAAGACGTCGTCTACGGACGACGCCGACGACACTCCCGTCGCTACGACGGCGGACGACGACGACGCCATGAGCCAGGCGAAGGGCCATCATGGGTCGCACGGCTCGACGTCTACGGACGACGCCGACGACACTCCTGTTGCTACGACGGCGGACGATGATGCGATGAGCCAGGCCAAGGGCCACCACGGCTCGCATGGCAAGACCTCCGCTACGGACGACGCCGCAGACGACACTCCTGTCGCGACTACCGCGGACGACGACGACGCGATGAGCCAGGCCAAGGGCCATCACGGCTCGCATGGCAAGACGTCCGCTACGGACGATGCCGCCGACGACACTCCTGTCGCGACTACCGCGGACGACGACGACGCGATGAGCCAGGCGAAGGGCCACCACGGCTCCCACGGCTCGGCGTCCTCCACCGACGACGACGCCGTCGCGACCGCGGCGGACGACGGCGACGACGCGGCGACCGCGGCGGCGACGGACGACGCCCCCGCGGACGACGCCGCGAGCCAGGCGCGCGGCCACCACGGCTCCCACGGCGACCTCGACGACGACGACGCGGCCGCGTTTTCCGCGAACGCGACGCTCGCCAACGCGACGGCGCGCGCCGTCGCCGCGAACGCGACGCTGGCCGACGTCAACGCGACGTCCGTCGCCGCGCGGGCCAACGCGACCGCCGCGAGCGACGACGACGGCTTCGAGTTCGACGACGTCGTCTCCGAGGGCGGCCCGCTCGGGCACGGCTTCTCGACGGACGACGACGCGCCCCTCGACTCGCACGGCGACGTGCCCGGCCCGTCGTCGAAGCCGACGACGGCGAAGCCGACGGCGACCTTGGCGCCGACGGCCGGCGCCGTCGGCGCGGCGCCCCCCGCGGCCGCGCGCGACTACTCGTTCTGCGCCGAGGACGCCGCGGCGTGGAGGACCGCGCGCGGCGCCTTCGCCTACAACGCGACGTCCGCCGGCCGCACCTGCCTCCTGCGGAGCGCCTCCGACGACGCGTCGTCGATCCTCGTGAAGCGGAACGCGTCGCTCGGCGACGCGCGCGTCGCCGCGAGCTTCTCGCAGCACGCGTACGCGGAGCACGGCCTGCTCCAGCTCCTCTGGCGCCTCGGCGCCGTCGCGGACACGGACACGCTCGAGGGCCAGGACGGCTACTCGTGCCTCTGGTCGTCGGCGCTCGACGCGGGCTCGTCCGAGGCCGCGGCGACGGTGCACCTCCGCGCGGGCGAGCGCGTCCTCGCGGCGTCGAAGACCTTCGTCGCCCACATCAACGTGCTCTACACCATGGCGGCGTCGTCCGTCGGCGAGGCCATCTCCTGCAACGTCACGGGCGGCGACGTCGACGTGCGGCTCTCCGCGGACG